CACAAACGCACATAGTTCGTTGAGTGCATAGCAAAGGTCAGTAGACTGAAGTACAATTAATATTTAAATTTGTACCCTCATTTTACCTTAAAATAGCCATGTCTGGTCATTAATTTCCCCAAAGAAATCAAACGGGCATAGAATTGAATGCCGCTTATAAGAGTTGGACTTTTGCCGAGAATTGTCAGGAAGGGAATAAGGTAAAATGGAGTCCTTTAATAAAGGCTGAAACATGCCACAATCTGACCGGGTTTAAAGCGGAAAACAGCGTCTTTACACACCATTATCCTGGTTGACCTGTTCTCCCGTTGGTCCGTTCGGCGGCGATGCAATGGATACGGAAAATTCGTGAGCGGATTAACTCTTCGTTCCTGGCTCCTCATTCAATGCCAGCGTGACGCCACACAGCCGAAATTCGCAACCCCGGTTACATGACGTCGCCACAAATGGATAAACACCAATATTGCTGCTATCTGTCACTCCGCTGCATAAGGTAGAGATGGCGGTGCAGCGAGCAATAACCAGGAGCGCGAGCATAGCAGTACAGCATGTCAGGTCGCGGTAAAGGTGGAAAGGGTCTCGAAAAGGGAGGCGCTAAACGCCACAGGAAGGTCCTCCGTGACAATATTCAGGGCATCACGAAACCAGCCGTCCGTCGCCTGGCTCGTCGTGGCGGCGTGAAACGCATCTCGGGTCTCATCTACGAGGAGACCCGTGGTGTGTTGAAGGTGTTTCTGGAGAACGTGATTCGCGATGCGGTCACGTACACGGAACACGCGAAACGCAAGACCGTGACTGCTATGGATGTGGTCTATGCGTTGAAATGCCAAGGTCGTACTCTCGACGGCTTTGGTGGTAGATTTGGTCAAGCCCACGCAAAAGTCAGCCACCACAGATTGTGGCCGTGTGCGAACGCTCCAACGGCCCTCTTTGGGGCCACCACTTGTGATTGTTGCTGGTTCTGCTCTTTCTGCTGCTGTTGTGGATGTGGAGAGTAAGAAGGAAGAGATGCAAGGAAGAAGAAGTAGGAGAAGAGGTGAAGAAGGTGGAGGAGGATGCGTAGTTGAATGTAGAGGAGGAGGAGGAGGAGGGCCACCGCTTGTGATTGTTGCTGGTGGTTCTGCTCTTGTTGCTGCCGCTGTTTTTGATGCTATCGTTGTTGGTGTGGGTGAGGGGGAGGGTGAGATTAGGTTTGCGAGCGTGTTTGCTTCATCCCTCTCCGCCTTCGCTTCCTCCTCCTCCTCCTCCTCCTTCTCTCCTTTCTTCTCCTCCTCCTGCTCATCGTCCTGCTGCTGCTGCCGCTGCTGTTTGTGCTTCATCAGGATGACACATGCAGCAAACAATCGACTTTTTTGGGAACCATGTGTAGTGCAGATTAATAGTCACTATCTGATCGTCGGACCTTCCCAAGCTTCAACATGTGTTCAGATTCCCGTTTAGCCTTCGAGTATCTGATGAGGAGAGGTGATGTGTTGTGGGCCCCAGCATGTGGTCCTAGGACCACGCCGGGGCCACGGAATTAACCCTGATTCGATTACGCTTGCCTGATGTCCGCGATGAAGGAAAAGACCGGAGAGGACGTGGACACAACCGTTTACTTCAGAGCTCAAC